CCTACCCACCACCCTCTGCCTGTATAGCCTGCATGGCAACTCTACCAGTATCATTATGGACTGACCTCAGGAGCCACGCTGAGGATGGACTAAAATAAAATTCTCAATATCTATTATTGAGTTTACAATATTATGAAAATAAATGCCATTCATGGAAGGCTCTTCGATAACAGTTAAATTCCCTTCAAAACTCAATCTCTCATAAAAGCAAATACATTTATTGTATTTATAATCCTACTTCAAAGGCAGCATATCCTTCAATAAATTCTTTGAGCTGCCCATCAAGCTGCAAATTTACAACCCCCCACAGACAATATGATAGACTGTGAAAAGCAGACTCGTACCAATAATGCTATAATTATAGCACTTAGGGCTACTTCAATAGACAGCTGTCGACAATGCTAGAATCTTTTTTCAATTCACAGACACATGCAGGCATTTTATTTTCTCAATTTTTAAAAGACAGGGGTATGAAATAACTTCCCAGCTTGACAGTTCAACACACTATAACTGTCTTTCATTAGCTTTACGTCTCCTCCATGAAATCAAGGAACACGCACTGTGGGTTGAGAACATTCCTAGTCTTGTGCATTGAGCTTAAAAACACAGCTGGTCCATAGTGACCGCATGAGCTTCATCACCCACACCTTTTCCCCAGCCAGGAAAATGGGATTTGCCAGAAACAGGGCCTGGACTTCCAAATATAGGTTCCATCCACCACTTCTAATTGTCTGCAGAGTCTCCATGATGCTGCAAATCTGGCCGTTCCTGTTTATACAGCAAAGCAGGAGACACTAATATCTTAAAGGGTATTAAGTTTCAATGTCGTTCTTCCATTCTGGCTCAATCCAAATAGTGTCCCAGACTCTCCAATGTGCAGATTTCATATTCAATTATAAGCAATGTTTTTCTCATCCTCCAGGTATTGTCAGGCATATTTATATCATCTATCATGTTCTGCAGATCTTGTTCCATAAATCTTGCCATGACTTTTTTTGCGCTTTCCTCCAAGCACTCCACACATGGGATAGGCCACAGTTTGCCATTCAGATTGTTAAACAGCATGTATTGAGCTTCTTTGTGATTGTCTCTTTGCTTACACATTTTTTTAACTTTGTCCTCATGAATCTATTCTGCATACAGCAAAGGTAAGTATCCTGCTAATGCATTAAAGAAAAGCCAACGTTTAAATTCCTATGTGCTGGATAATTTCACTTCCATCACAAATTTGAGATCTGGCAAGTGTGCTATCATTATTCATTCAACAAGATTCCTCAACCTTGACAACCGGATGCAATGCTAAACTTGCAAGAGCTGGTTGAGGGACTCTAGATAGACTCCTTAATTGTAATATTCTAGATCCAACAGTGAATTCTGGTGAAACATTCATGCGATGGACAACTAATACTTTTTCTTGCCATTAGGCTTTTGTTTTCTAAGTATATATGCTCAAAAAATCATCAGTTGCATATTATCTGTCTTGAACATGAAGGACTCCAAAGTATATCACCACGAGTTCATAGCTTATACATGTTTGCCAGCAAATGGTAGATTAATGGATCACTTCTTGTAAAGCTCAAGGAATATACAGAAAGGATGGATTACAGAAGTTTATTCTCAGACCCACATTCATAAAAAATAAAGTATAAAGTGTAGAGAAGTATTACAGCAATTAGATAGAGCACTGGTGAGACCACACATCTGTAATGCTGTGTACAGTTTGGCCACTGTACCTGAGTAATGATTTATTTGCCTTGGAGGAAGTGCAAAGGTTCACTAGACTGATTCCTGGGATGAGGGGATTGTCCTACAGTGGGAAATTGTGTAGACCAGGCCCATACTCGCTAGAATTTAGAAGACTAATAAGTGATCTAATTGAAACATATCAAAATTCTTAAAGTCATTGATGGTAAGGTAGATGATGAGAAGCTGTTTCCCTCTGGCTGGAGAAACTAAAACTAAGTCATATTTTCAGAATAAGGGATTGGTCATTTACAGCTTTGAAAAAGAGAAATTCTTTCTCTCAAAGTACAGTGGATCTTTAGAATTACCGACTCTAGAGTGCTCTAAGTGCTCATTCAGTATTTCAAAGACAGATTGATACATTTTTAAGTACTAGTGAGATTAAGGAATTGTTGATTGCATATTAATTGCTTTTAATTGTAGGCAGGTGGTAGGGCATTAACTGGGGCTTCATGTCTCCTCTAAGTAGGAACAGATTCAAACTGTGGCAGTTGAGTTTAGAGGTGGATGTTTCTCATATGTAACCTTGTAAATAGAAAGCCATAAAAGAATGTAAAGTCTGATTTCAGTTCTATCCATTGTCGCCTGACTTTCTGGGACATACCAATTACGGAGACAGTGCGAGATGGTGGAGTTGAGGTAAAAAGTCTGGAATGATCCTACTGAATGATGGAGCAGGCTTTTTAAGGATCAAATGGCATATCACTGTTCCTATTTCTTTTGTTCTTATGGTGCCCACAATTTGACAAGATGAGAGAATGATTATCAATCTATTAGTGCTCAGCAGTGATTCTGATTAGGAATGCAATTTTCATGTATAGAGATGTGCTTTGAATAAGAAATTAAAAATGTGAAGGTAGAATTTCCTGAATCTCCTGCAATATTTATGGAAATCCAAAGAAACAAACTAAATAGCTGGATGTCTGACAACTGTTTATTAATATTGTGTTAAGATTGTGAGGAATCATCCCTACTCGTACCAACCTCTTTGGAACATCCTGCTGGTGCAGAACACATCAGGTGCCAAAATTCAAGCTTACTACAAGTGGTGACCTTGAGATTTTTTTTATTCCTGAGAATTCTTGGACCTGACATTGGATTCAGGCTCTGTGCTGATGGTACAATTGTAATACAAATGCAGCATGAAACTAAATTGTAAATTGTGGCTCCTAAATTTTCTTCATGGGGGTTATAATAACTATAAGCAGTCACTGGGGTTTTTAAAAGTGGTTTTTAGGTTCAAAGCACTTTCTGCATCATGATCAATGTTTCGTCTATTTGCCCACAAATTCTGATGAATCATCACACGTTCAGAAATTGATACCCAACTTTAAAACAATTCACCTGAGATTCAATGCAAAATAATGACTTGGCTGCAAATGAATGGTAAAATCCACTTCCTATTTTCTTTCTAAGCATGCTGTTTTGCAAAATTATCTAAAATTCACATCCAATTGGAATTACAATTAGATGATTTGTCATATAAATACCCTTTGGCATTTTCAATCTTTTGGAAGCTAACATTGTGTGTTACAGGAAGTCTTGTTGGCTCAATTGGTAGCACACTGAGTCAAAAGCATTGGACTCAAATCTCACCCTAGAAGGGCCAAGGAACATAATGTAGCCAAATAGTTTGAGTATTGTGTGATGGAAAGAAAGTTGGAGCCTGTAAAATCACTAACCCATAGTTTTAGACTACAATGCACTTATAAAAGATCACGTGCTACATGATCAATTCCTGAAGACAGTAACATATCACTGAAGGTGGCAGTGCAGCTAGATAAGGTAGCAAAAAAGACATATGGCATGCTTGCCTTCATTGGAAGGGGCATTGAGTATAAGGATAAACACATTATGATGCAGCTTTATAAAACTTTAGTTAGGCCACACTTCGATTTTTTTCCTTTATTCATTCATGGGATGAGGGTGTCACTGGCTAGGCAGCATTTATTGCCCAGAAGAAAGTTAAGAGTCAACCACATTGCTGTGAGTCTGGAGTCACCTGTAGGCCAGTACAGATAAGGATGATGGTTTCCTTCCCTAAAGGACAGTAGTGAACCAGGTGGGTTTTTCCTGACAATTGACAATGGATTCATGGTCATCATTAGATTCTTAATTCCAGATATTTACTGAATTCAAATTCCACCATCTGCTGTGGCTGGATTTGAACTTGGGTCCCCAGCACATCATTCAGGGTCTCTGGATTAACAGTCCAATGATAATACCACTCGGCCATCGCCCAGAATAATGTGAGATAACAAGGTGTAGAGCTGGATGAACACAGCAGGCCAAGCAGCATCAGAGGAGCAGGAAGGCTGACGTTTCGGGCCGAGACCCTTCTTCAGAAATGGAGTTCCTGCTCCTCTGATGCTGCTTGGCCTGCTGTGTTCATGCAGCTCTACACCTTGTTATCTCAGATTCTCCAGCATCTGCAGTTCCTACTAGCCCAGAATAATGTGTACAGTTCTTGTCACCACATTACCAGAGGATGTGGATGCTTTGGACAGGATACGGAAAAGGTTTACCAGGACGTTGCTTGGTATGGGGGATTTTAGCTATGACGAAAGGTTGGATAGGCTAGGTTTGTTTTCACTGGAACACAGGAGGTTGAACGGCGACCTAATAGAAGTTTATAAGATTGTGAATGGCTTGGATAGAGTGGCAAGTATGAGGCTTTTTCCCATGAAGGAGGGGTCAATTACTAGGGGACACAGGTTCAAGGTGAAAGGGGGGAAGTTTAAAAGAGATGTGTGTGGCAAGTTCTTCACACAAAGGATGGTGAGTGCCTGGAACATGTTGCCAGAGGAGGTGGTGGAAGCAGACACCATAGCAGCATTCAAGAAGCACTTGGACAAATACTTGAATAGGAAGGGACTAGAAGGATACGGATCATGTAAGTGAAGACAGTTTTAGTGTGGAAGGACAAAATGTGTCAGCACAGGCTTGGGGGGCCAAGGGCCTGTTCCTGTGCTGCACTGTTCTTTGTTCTTTGTACAATAAAGCACACTACTTATCAAATGTACTAGATGTGCCACGCTATGATAGGGAACAACTTTTGGAAAATACTGAGTAATGTTATGAACTTACAATAAATCCTTCATTATTTTAACAAACAAAAACCAGATCAATGTTTCATGTAAAACAATGGAGTGTGGAATTTCAGATAAACATGTTAACATTTATTCATTAGTGCTCTCTAGTATAATGTTGGGGCTGGTACATAATAAAGAGAATTAAGTCAAACTGTGGAAACCTACTGTAGAATAAACTGATTTGCTTGGCTGCCAATCCTTATGAAGCTGCTTTGGTTTGGCAAGTTCACGAATTCTGGAACTGGGCTGAGCTCTCATTGCTTGACGTTTCACAGGCCAGATCGGTGATAATCTATATCATAAAAGATTCATGTTAGCATTGGATAACTTTTTGTCAATGTTTGAATAAATTGTATTATCTCATACGTATTGGAGCACAGAATCTCAATCATCACGGAAATCTTTGATAACTAAAATTAATGTGTAGATATGTTCACATTCATATCCAAACCCGTGGCATCGATCACCTAGAAGGACAAGGGCAGCAGATGCACAGGAACATCACCACCTGCCCGTTCTCCTCCAAACCACACATCATCCTGACTTAGAACAATGTCATAATTTTTTCACTGTCATTGGGTCAAAATTCTCAAACTCCCTTCCCAACATCAACTGTTGATGTACCAACGCTACATGGACTATAGCAGTTCAAGAAAATTACCCACCACTACCTTCTCAAGGGCATTTAGAGTTAAGCCAAAAATGCTGGCCAGCAGCAATGCCCACATCCTGTGAATAAGTAAAACAAAACACATACTACACTCACATACAAATTATAGGTATATGTTACCAGTTTATGTCTTACATATGGAATAAAAGTTCTTTGAAAAATTTATGATCTGTTACTGGTTGCAAGGCATAGCCCTACTTCTCTCCAACCTTCAACTGTCTAGTAAAATTTGATAAGTTTCAGATTTTAATTCAGTGGTTTTACAAGGATTGATCTTACATTTGAGTTGCTATGTGTGTAGAATGTTCAGTAAGAGAATTTTATTTTTAAATATTCATTCATGTGCACTGTATTTAAGGCAGACACTTGGCTAATTGTCTGCTGATGCTTCACCCTGAGCTGCTTTTATCACTGAGCTTTTTCTTGCCTTTCTTCGTTCATGGGATGAAGGCGTTGCTGGCTAGGCAGCATTTATTGCCCTATCCTAATTGTCCAGAGGGCAGTTAAGAGTCAACCATATTGCTGCGGGTCTGGAGTCACACGTAGTCCAGAATAGGTAAGGATGGCAGTTTCCTTCTAGTGAACTGGATGGGTTTTTCCGACAATTGACAATGGATTCATGGTCATCGTTAGATTCTTAATTCCAGATATTTATTGAATACAAATTCCATCATCCGCTGTGGCAGGATTCAAACCCGGGTCCCCAGAACGTTATCTGGGTCTCTGGATTAACAGTTCAAGGATAATATCACTAGACCATCACCTCTCCTTTGGTCACTGGAGATTTGCCATTGGCTGCTCTCTTAAGGGGAGGGTAAGGAGGTTTGTCTCAAGTCTATCTCAGCCAGAATGAAATTGAACCAGCACAAGTGATATTCTGAACCATAGGCTAGCCATCTCAGCAAACCAGCATCTCCCTCTTTTTAAGTATAATGTGTGCAATAACATTATTGATGCTGTTAACAAATGACTCATTGAATGACCATAACTTTTAAGCATATTGGATTAATTCTTTTTCAGGATATTTTGAAGATAATTTAAGTCATTGAAGTTGCTTGAGGTGCTAGTAGGGAGTTATCACTGCAGGAGGGAGTGGCAGGTAGGAACAGGTTCCATGAGCTGCAGTCCAAGGATTTCCATGACAATCACGACAACTTGACTACAAAAGATGTTCCAAAACTAAAAAAAAGCAAATATTTTTCTCATACCTAGGAAGGTTTGTTGTATCACATTAGTCTTTGCAGCTTTTGACATGAAGCAAGAGAAAGCATTATAAATGATAGTTGATTGTTATACAATTCCAATCCATCCCTCCATCCCATGACTTCAGGACTGAGAGATTGGGGTGATTCTAACACCCAGGCCCCAACAAATGCTTATAAAAGATTTCCTCTCCAAAATGTGGTTGCCCTGATCCCGTAGCACTGACCACAATCAAGAGGACAGGTGACTTAGAGTTATTGAGGTCTACAGTTCAGAAAAAGGCCTTCAGCCCATCCACTCTGTGTCATTCAAAAACAACCACCTAACTATTCTAATCTCATTTTCCAGCACTTGGGCCATAGACTTATATGCTATGGCATTGCAAGTATACATCTACATCTGAAATTTTATTATTTCTGCCTCTATCGCCCTTATAGGCAGTGAGTTTCAAATCCCACCACTGGGTGTAAAAAGGTTTTCCTCACATCCTCTCATGTCCTGTCCCTTACCTTGAATCTATGTCGCTTGGTCACTGATTCCTGGGGTAACGTTTCTTCCTATCTACTCAATGTCCCACAAAAATGTATACAACTCAATCACGTACTCCCTTGATCTCCTCTGTTCCAAGGAAAACAACCCCAGTCTATCCAATCTCTCTTCAGAACTAAAACTCTCCAGCCCAGGCAACAACCTGGATAATCTCTTCTGCATCCTCTCAAGTGCATTCACATCCCTCCTATAATGTAGATTCCAAAACTGCATATAATACTCTAACCAACTTCTGATACTGTTCCAGTGTAACCTCCCTGCTCTTAAACTCACTGCCTCAGTTAATAAAAGCAAGTATCCCATATGCTTCCTTAACTACTTTATCTACCTGTCCTGCCATCTTGAGGAACCAGTGAACATGCACACCAAAGTTCTTGGTGCTTCATCATGTATTCCCTTGTCTTGTTTGTCCTTTAGAAGTGCAATACCTCACACTTATCTCGATTTAATTCCAATTGCCACTGATCACCACATCTGACTAGCCCGTCTACATCCTCCTCACTACTTACCACCTTACAAATTCTTGCATCATCTGTGATCAAATTGATCAACCCTCCTACACTCAAGTCCAAATCATTTTATATACCAAAAACAGCAAGGGCTTCAGCATTGATCCCTGCAAGACTCCAGCGGACACAGGCCTCCAGTCACTAAAACATCCCTTGACCATCACCCTCTGCTTCCTGCCACTCAGCCGATTCTGGATCCAATTAATCAAATTTCCTTGGATCCCAGGGTCACTTACCTTTACTGTCAGTCTCATACATGGGACCAAATCAAAAGCCTTGCTGAAATCCAGGTAAAGGTAAAGTCACTATTGTTTTACCAGTCTACAGGACTCTCTCTCATTAGAAGTGGCCCAACTTGAGGGTCACCACGCCTCAGGCAAGGGGATAGGTTGAGAAGGAGAATACTTCACTATAATCTCAGCTAGTGCAGGAATTGAACCCAAACTGTTAACATCAGCTCTACATGACAAACCAGATGCCCAGCCAGCTGAGCTAACCAGCCCCCACAAAGTCCAATCAGACCAAGTGAAATGCATTGCTTTCATTTGCACACATGGTTACCTCTGAAAAATTCAATCAAGTTGGTCAGACATGACCACCCTTTAACAAAACCAGCTGACTATTCTCGGTTAATTCCTGTTTCCCCAAGTGCAGACTATCTCTGACGCTCAGAATTGCTTCCAATAGTTTCTCACCACTGAGATTAGACTGACTGTCCTGTAGTTTCTGGTTTATCCCTTGCTCCCTTTTTGAATAACAGCACCATATTGGCTGTCCTTCAATCCTCTGGCACTTCTGCAGCAAGAGAAATTGGATATTTCTAACTATTACTTCCTTTGCCTCACTCAACAGCCTGGGAACGATTTCATCCCACCCTGGAGATTTAATTGCTTTTAGGTTTCTGAAACTCCTCTCTGTCTCTGCTAGTTTCTTTAAGAATATCACAGTCCTTCTTCCTGATTTCTATACCCACATTGTCACTCTCACTAGTGAGCACCGAAACAAAGAAATCATTCAGAATGCTACCAATGTTGTCTGGCTCCATGCACAAATTACCACTATGCTCTTTAATGGGCTCTACTCTGCCCTAGTTATCCTGTTATCACCAGTTTACTTGTAAAATAACTCAGGATTTTCCTTTATTTTACCTGCTATTATTCTTTTATGTCCCCCTTTTGCTCTCCTAATTTCCTTCAGTTCTCCATTCTGTAATCCTCCAGGGCTTCCGCTGTTTTGAATCCACAGTATCTGCCCTAGGACTTGCCTTTTTCTCTTTATCCAATCCTGTAAATCCTTTGATATTCAGGGTTCAGAGGATTTTTGGTCCTATCTTTTCGCTTTATTGGAACAGCTCATCTAACATTCTGACCCCACATTGAAGAACTCAGTCAAAGCCACTCTTCCAGCCACTGTTTCTATTGCCAGGCCTCCACTACCCATCCAACATTGTTGCTGCTACCAGCCTTTATTTCCAGTCTATCTCATTCTCAGTCCTAACTCATCATCTCCTGATACAGTGTCAACCCAAGTTCTTATAATCCCTCTTCCTGACACCTCAGCCAAAAACTCCATTCTTCTGGGCCATACAACATCCCACTTTGTGATTTCTGACCTGACCCTAGATCCTGATCCAAAGAATATGCCTAAGATACAAATAGGAACTTTGCATCAGTTGTCACTATTAAGATAATGCCACATGCCATATTAATGGATATGACTGCTGCTAAAGAGTTTTTTTTGTCCATTTACCTGTTTATCAGGTATCCTTCAGGCAGCTTTTTGGGCTCACTGAGATAAATGAATCTTGGTACTTCAGCTAAGAATACAAAATTGTTCAAATAAGAATAAACAACAAATGTTCACCTTATCCTACTAACATCAGCATTTTTTAAAAAAATGGGTTGAAATTAATTTCAGGCAGCATCTTTTTCATGGAGTCATAGAGTTATACAGCATGGAAACAGACCCTTTGGTCCAACTCGTCCATGCCAACCAGATATCCTAAACTGATCTAGTCCCATTAGCCAGCATTTGGCCCATATCTCTCTAAGCTCTTCCCTTTCCATGGAAAATAAAATTGGCTGAAGGTAAAGCCTGTTCTCAATTCCTTGTAGCCCATTTTAAGCTATTGCCCAAAACCAATTTCAACATCCTTTTTTTTTCTGATTTATTCCGATGTCTTGCATAACCATCTGCTTACTTCATACGTCTCTTAGAGTCCTGTGTAGGGACTTTTGTTGAAAAATGCTAATGTCGATTTCAGATGGGAGATCAGGGTTAGCTATAATAGTCTCCATAACTGTACAATCTGCCAAAACTCATTGACCTGGATTTTGTGATGGTAATGACAGTGAAACTGTCAGCATTTGTCATCATTACTCCATTGAAACTAATAGCAACATGCAGTCATTAATTTCCAGACAGAGCACTGTTAAGGCACCCCTAGAATGCAATCAATATGAATTGATGAGAAATTTTAACTCCTACACTTGTTGAATGAGATATCACTGAATTTCTAACAGTGCATTAACTTCAAAGCTACTGTTAAACAGCCTCACTAACCTTGAACAGCTGATTTTATATTTGTGACATGTCAAACATATCCATTACAATATAAAACATTCCCGTTTTTGAATCATAATTCATTAAAGTTTAAGCTATTTTTGCTTCTATCTTAATCCAAGCATAGTCATTTATTTCAATAAATAAGATATTTAAATTAATAATGAAGGAATTTTGTGCTTCAATTTTCTGGTTTGCTTTCTGGATATATGTCAATTTCAACCAAGTCAGAAGAGGTTAATCAATTCCCTTCCTAGTCCTATTCTTTTGCTGGTCGCAATGAAGTTTGAAACAAAAAAAAATCAGAATTTGTAAATAGCCGAGTATCAGAAAGTCAACTTTAATTAATAACTAAAGAACTAGTTTGTTGCAAAGTATTGTGTCAGCTCTCTGGAAAAAAAACTCAGCTAGTCCCACTGGATCATTTTAAACAAAACTCTATCATATCTTCTCTGTTTACTCCTGCAGTCAAAATAGCTCCAATTTCGCAATTTTATTGTTGGCATCATTGGTTGAATTATTGCTTTATGTCCTCTAATATCACTTTTAGAGTGAAGTATTTAAAGATGCAAACAGTATTTGAAATGTTGCTTAATCATTGGTTTGCACAGATCTATTAGTGCAAGGCTAACCTCGCTCCCCTTGCATATAAAACTGAAATGTTGCTGAAAAGGAATATGTTGGCTTGAGGACTCTGGTAAAAGAGCCTGTTAGTAAGTGGTGATTATACTATGAGAGAGGGCATAGTATATCTCACTAGAGGTGGGAACTGCCACCATTTTCTTCTTATCAAATGATTAACTTCTGCTTTAAGTTGAAGCAATGTTCTCTGAGGTTAAAGTCTAAACAATGAAAAGCATTTGTGTATCATTTCCATAACATCGATGCTTGCCTAAAATGCATGGAACTTCATGGGAACAAAATACAAGCATAACTTCAAAGTAGAGAAGTGGAACAGTATCTAATGTAACAGTATCAAGGTCTATACATATATATAATCAGGAAAATGCTATGTCCAATAACAATTGTAGTTCCTTGCATGTAATTTTATACAATTAATCACATCTACATGTTTACTTCCCTTCTGCTTAGGAACAGTAATATAAGGATGAATTCAACAATTTAGGTCCTAGCAGAGATTGCTGCAAGGGAGGGGCCTTTGTGTACTCCCCTCATGGAAGCACAAAATTGCTGAAAATTTACCTCACTGCCACTATGATCTTCTTTTAATTACCATCTCACAAGAGTCCTATATTTAATTATACATTCTAAACATGAGCCTGAGTCTAACATTCATGGTGTCATCTAGCTTTTGTGTGTGCTGTATACCACCCTATCAACCCTCACACCTCTCATCACCATCCTCCCGAAACTTCATTTTGCTAACATACCGTAAATGATGGATTCTTTATTTCTTCTTGATCTTTTGCCTCTAGGATATTGATATTAAAACAGAATAGAGATTTTAATGAAGAATAACAATGCAAGAAAATATTATCAAACAGTAATATCCTTTGTCCAATGTAGACTATAAATAGTGGTAATTTTCACAACATTTACCTTTCAAGGTCTATTAACAGTTTGTTTGTGGCAACGCTGGGAGCTGGCGGTAAGTGAGACAGAGAAAAAGGAAATCTTCCAAAAACCTGAGCCTTGTCCCCATTTTTTTTCTACTATTTGCATTTGATGGGCAAGGAAGACAGGAAAGTCCTAGCTGTATGAGTGAACTAATGGTAGACATCAGCCACGTTAATTTTCTTCATAGTTGCTGTGCTCTGTTGATGTCTGTACCCTAACTGCACTAGGTTAGACTGTATGGATAATATAGGAGCTTTTACTAAATTTGCAGCCTTTCGAATTTGGCAGGGAATGAGGAAACACTGGGGTAATGAGACCAAGTAGCACTGGCACATGCAGAATTTGCTGTAACTTTAAAAAATATTTTTATATTTTTCCACTGACAACTATTGAGAGGATAAGATTCTAAAAACTCACTCCTGCCCACCCCACTTATATGGCAGGTAGGGGAACACTCTGGAAAGCAGGTAAATATCTTGAAATCTTCCTGTGGGGGAAATGGTCTCACTGCAGCCTTAGCTCCCTCCAGTTGGCTCCAAAACCTTATCTGTAAAGAGCCTGGTCTCACCTTAGACCTTCAGTCCTAGTCTCAGGCTTGGTCCAATCTTTAATGGTTTCCTACTCTTTTAGTGTACTTTGCTAAAAATATTGTGGTGAAACATTGCTGAACTCACCATAGCATCATCAGGATATTCCAGTAATGTACTAGTGGGCTTCTTCTTGATGGCCCAAATCTCACCTGGAGCATTCTGTACAGCCCCAATGTTTTAGTTCACAGCTGAGCTGAAGGGGTGGATAGATCATTTGCCTTGCTGGAATTTGACTCTGAAGGGGTGGGGCACAGAGTTCTGGCATATGACATCTAATTATTTTAACGCAGATTCAGTCATTTATTCATTCACTCACTCATTCATTCATACTTGAAAGGAAGACTAGTATTACAACATATGATATTATATAATGCTTCAATGAACTTCACAGGATCAGGACTTCAAATCCAATGATTCTTACACAATGGGAAATAAATAGACCTACTGCGCCAAACCCATTTTCTACGGCTTCATAAAAGATTATATTATTTGAATGTTATTTTGCGTATAGACTCTCACCAGTGTTTTTATTATATCAAGTTTTTGGTTGCCTGATGTATTTCTTCCCATGCCATTCAACCTTCCAGGAAATCCTGTCGTTTCTTGTTCCTATCCTTCCCTGCTTTATTTGACTCCTAGTAAAGATATGCATGCTAAGCATATGAAGGGCCAACTGAAGTGCATTTGTTTCACAAGTTGAAGACGGGATTATAAATTAATATCTTCTAATATATTCAACTTGAACTGAATCGACAACTTTCCTTATCTGTCTCTGGAGTCTATTTTTTTTAAAATGTCTTACCTCTTAGCAGTCTTTGACTTGCCCTAGGAGGTAACCATGAATTTAGTTAAAGATTCAAGCAAATCAGATTTAATTCCTTAACTGCTCAAGTGTATTGATATAAATGTGACTGATGTGGTCTTTTCAGAGCCAGCAGATGCTGTGGGGACAGGATATCTAGTAATAATGAGACGCAGAGCTGAGAGCTAACAAACATCCTGTTTGCATAGAAATTTTTTAAAAAATGCCAAATAAGCTGGAAGTGCAAGCTTATCATAGCCAAATACTCTGCATTATAATGATAACATGCAGCCTAGTTGTATACATTCTAAGCTATCAAATCATATAAACAACCACATTAAACCTTCAAAATTCATTTTCAGTAAAATCATTTTCACAAAAGATAATTGGCAGAACACATCATCAGTGTTAGCAAACACATAACAGTGTTCCAAATCACAGTGAAGAACATGTAATATCAATTTGACAAAATAACTGTGCACTAGTACCATCACGTCTACATGTATCATGATGAGTAAAGGAGAAAAGATGCTCTGTTAATTATTGTTAACTGGCAAAATTCAATTCCTTAAATTCAATTCCTGCCTTGTGTCATGATGCAGGCAGAGGGCAGGTGATAAAAATTGCTTTGCTTATATACTGTACATGGATTCAAAAAGACTTTCTCTAGTTGACATTCCTTATGAAATTGTAAGCATTTCTTTTCTGTAATTTTCAGGGGTTTTGGCTGCAGAGAGAGTCAGCTCCTGAGCTGGTGAAATAATGATGACTACTCTATATCTTATTCTCAGCTCCAAGGTCTTCAGCTACCTGAGAACCAATCTCCTGGCTGTTGACAGGCAAGAAGTCTTTGTCATTCGATGGCTGGTCACTAGTCTACAGAACAATCAACTTCTTGTTGCCAACCAAAGCTCCATCTGTGTAAAAAGTCCTTGGATCCAGTTTGTCTGCAAACACTGCTGTAACACAGCGCTACGTGAACAGTGCACACAATATATTTCAAAGAACTTGCTTTCAAACTATATAGCAATCTTTGGATTTTAAAAACAGTCCTTTCTCATTTCAGTCTTTAATTTTAAAAAGCACGAGAACAAAATATATGGTCTTTATGCATAGTTTGGTTTATTTGGTATCAGAGATGCTGAGCTTCAGTTAATTGGAAAGATTTAACAAGTTGAAGTTGTTCATTTTGGAGCAGAGAAACTTGAAATACAATTTGATAATGGTGTTTAAAATTATGGCAGGCTTTAATAGAGGACATAAAGAGAAACAGTTAACAGTGGTCACTATGGTGAGTAACCACTGAGCACAGATTAAAAGTGATTAAAAGAACTGTGGATAAGGTGAAAATTTTTTACACAGCCATTCACTGCCTGGAAGAGTGGAGGAAGCAGATTCAATAATATTTTTCTAAGTAGAATTGGGTAAATTTTTGAAGAGGTAAAATTTACAGAGCGTGTGGCAGAGTCAAGAGAATAGTCTGATGAGATAGCTCGTACAAAGAGATAGCATTGGTACAAAAGGGACATCTGATGATTTACCATATTATCACTGGATAACTAATCCAGAGGCACAGGTCAGTTCTTTGGGGACATGGATCTAAATTCCACCATGGAAGTTGGTGAAATTTCAATTCAATTCTGAAATATAAAGATTGTTGATTGTTAGAAAAATCTATCTGGTTCACTCTTGCCTTTGAGGGAAGGAAATCTGGCACTTTACCTGGTCTGGCTTGCAGCAATGTGGTTGATCCTTAACTGCCCTTTGAAATGGCTTAGCAAGCTATTCACTTTAAAGGTAATTAGGGATCTGCAACAAAGGCTGGTCTTGTCAGCATGCCTGCATCCCATGAAAGATTAAAGAAAAGGAACCATGAAAGCTTAAAGAAAACGAAATGGGTTGAATTGTTTCCTCTGTGTTGTTTGATTCTGAGTTTTATGATTCTGTGAAAGAGAGCATGGCTTATGGATAGGAGGAAAATACCATAATTTAAGATATGCTCCCTGAATGCAGGATTGCTAAATTTATCATAAAGTTAAAGGCAGGAGATCTATGGCAGTGCCTAATTAGTCTTTCTGATAATATCTTGTGACTAACCACCAAACATTTCAGCCTTTTCAGTTTTTGTTATCATTGATATAAATTGCATGCTTATCCCTATAATAATCCATACCTCCACTGGTCACAAGATTAATTTGTGAGGCCCTAACCTAGTGTGAATACTCACCAACGTACAAATATGGGTTTGAAAATTGGGCTACAATATAATAACCTATCACAACTCACTTTAAAAAAATCTCAAAACTATTTCATGTGTCTTTTAGTTAGGTTTCATTAACTGAACAGCTGGGACAGATTCATTTTTTAAAGCAAGATTTGCACACAGAATACTTTTCACACACCTATCTGTATAATCTTCTTTTGATAAGACACAGTGGGATGATAGCTGAGTTTACATGCTTTAACAAAGGAATCATGGAGAAATATTATTTACTTCATCAAACATTTCTAATCATTTAAATGAAAAATCAGGCATTCATTTTTGAATAGGACATAAAGCACAAATAGGATTACAATTATAAACAAAAGGACAACTAAAAGAGAATCTATTTGGAGGCTTTTTTGACCTTTGCAACCTGATGCACAGGAATAAAAAAAATGAGTATCATTTTTCAGATTTAGCAGAGGTATTATCTGCTGTTATGGCTAGAGTGTTTGTCAATAGTTTTCTTCTGCATGCTGAGTGGAAAGATTTAAGACAATAAATAAGTTCAGCAATGTTCAATAAGTTCAGCGTTTCCCATTTATATGGTTGGTTTGTTTGTAGAAAATGATCAATGTAAACCAATTCTAACTATACATATTGATAATTAAAATTAAATGACATATATTTACCTCAGTGTAAGTTAGATTGCTGTCTTTATGAATTGACTTCGGCTTAGCTAGTTCTTTAATTCTGGATGAAGCCTTAGCTCTCATTGTAGCAGATTTCACAGGCCAAATGACTGGTCTACATTATAAGCAAACATGTTACTGTTAACTGTTGATTACACAACACAATTTACAAATATATAAATGGAACAGAATACAGGCAAACAGAGCATGGTCTCTGCTTTTCACCAGTAATATAGAATCATAGAAATCCTATTTTTGTATCTTTAATATCATAAACAAACACATCGATGGACTGGTACAATAAAAACGAGATGATAATAAACTTTTAGAATAGTTGGATAATGACAATTTGACTGTAAATATCAATTAATTTGAGAAGGAGCATTTTGGTAGGAAGAATAAAGAGTCCATACACTCCTTGGAAAACAAGATTCTAAATGGAGCAGAGAACAAAGGAATCTAGACATACAGATATAAAAACCATACAAAGTAGTGATATGTTACGTTGCATTACGGATGCTACAATCTTGTCCTTGAAAGTTGTGTGAGCCATTTCAATTCTTATATTATCTCAATTTATAAATATGTCCTACACAATAAAGTGGTTGTTCAACATGGTTCCCTCTGATAAATGTTTATTGATTTATTTAAGAAATGTAAAATAGAAATTGTAACAGCTAAGTTGCTCTCACTGCAACAAGTGCAGTTCCATGGGAATAGGTTCCATATGCTGTACCATAAAACCTACCATTGGGATCATCACAGCATTATCATACAGACTATTTTACAAATGAATTTATTCACATAATATCACACCAAGAGAACATTAACACTGGGATCCTAAACTAGTTAGGTCATAGATCAATGAGGGGGACAGGTAACTCATGCCTATCTGTTAATGTCCATGATCATGGCCTACATTATGCAACTAGGAATTCTACAGCAACAATGTTGATCTCGATACAATCTATAAGAAAGAAACCATCCCAAAGTAACTCTTGGAGGTAGAATTAGATAAATGGATACTGAGCTAAAGAAGGAATAATTAAGAGGGGTTTTGATGTGTGTCTTAAAATTGGAGACGCAGTTGGAGGGGTTGATTTATTTAGAAAGGGAATTAGTAGGCCACTGAAGGTGTCATCATTCACCTTTGGGGAAAACGTACAAGAATCCAGAGTCACGGTGTTCGCTTTCAGGGACGGGCATTATAGGTTTGTATGAACTCATGAAGATAAAGAGATGCAAGGTCAAGAGGGGTGTTCAATCTTAAACTTAATATGGCAAATGTAGGCATGGACAGAAATTGGTAAAAACGGGATACGGGTTCCAAAGCTTTAGATGAGCTAAAGTTTGCGCAGAGCAGTGGATGGGTATCTTTAAGCAAGCGATCATTGAAATAATAAAATAAAAGCAAAATACCGTGGATGCTGAAATCTGAAATAAAAATAGAAAGTGTTGGAGAAACCCAGCAGCTCTGGCAGCACCTGTGGTGAGAGAAACAGAGTTAAAATTGTGACTCCAAAAAGACTCTCCTTTAGAACATCTAGGGTGTTCTGGCTCTAAAGAAAGAGGTGTTAGTGGATGTAGTGTGTGAAAATCCAAGCATCTCACCCATCTGCAACGTCAAACATCAGCTACACCACCTGTGGAAGAGTCTGAGGTTCCAGCATATTGGTCACCTCAGAAACCACAACACTGGAGTTGAAGAAAGTCACCTTTGACCCTGAGGGATTGCCTAAGAAGACTAACAAAAGAATTAGTACAGAGCAGTAATCTCCATTTACCAAAGCAGACTGCACCAGGTAAATTGCTTCAATGTCCTGCTGTTATAAAGCAATATTCATTAGATTGACTTCCAGATTTATAGGATGTCACAAGGTGCACTGTATGGTGAGAAAGGTGCACTTTGGACACAGATGATGAAATTTAATGTTGGTGACCAGGGATCTTGTCCAGTAGGGGACAAAACTACTCATTTCAGGAAGGTCCACTACATTTTGAGTTTTAATGACATATTAACTGGACAGCAACAGGAAGAACCTCTGGGGTGGAGGTCCAGCTGAATTAGAAGCCAGCACCCCTTTATTGTTCAGTAGTAGCATGGGGGAGATAATGGCTACTATTTTAATGTGCCCATGTAAAGTCCAGAATGACCAAAATGTCTAAGCCACAGTCGAATGATTGTTCCAGTGGAGCATGGATTGGAGATCATGGGGATGGGTTGGGGGTAAAGGGCAGGGAGTGGATCTGCAGCAAAGGCAGGGTGGTGCCTCTCCACCTTTGATGAAGGGTTCCTCAATCAGGCACTTTTAATGAGAGACTTCCCTGGAAGTTTGCAAGGCACTCATTCACTTGAGTGTTCCATTTGCCACTGGATGAATACTGTGGTGGGATGCAGTCCTTATGTTGGCATTCATAGTCTAAACTTACCACTGGGCTAGGCATTATATTCTGCTAAGATGTGAAGGAAATATACAGTAGGTGGTGAGGGTTGCTTTGGGAAATTTACCTCTCAGTGGATACTATTACAAGCATTAGGAATATATAATTATATGCCTGTGGAAACTGATAATTCACTCGGTGTCAAAGTACTAATCACCATACTAATTATATGGCATTATAAGGAAATGTTATGTTATAATATTCATGAACAGTCCTCCTTAATTTGCTCCATCTTTTTAATATGATTTTGTGATTCTCAACCTGTCTTATGAATCTGATGGCCTCTGCCTACAGAGGTCAGCAAGGTATTTTGGTAAGTTCTTACATGGAAGTATTTGAGAACATATAAAATTAGGGTTTTGTTTTAAGAAAGCTAATTAGTCCTTTAAGGCTGCTTAGTTGGATATCCCTTCTTGACCATTCCCAAGCAAGTTTTTTTCTTAGAAATTTTAGTCTTTAGGGCCCATATTAATTCCAGTAAACCTGAATTCTATTAGATCATTTTTTAATGGCTGATATTGGCAGTGCTCCAGACTTTTTAACAGGTAAAACCCTAACAAAAATAAATATTAATTTTTGAAATGAAGGGAGCCCAAGGTGGAAAACTTAGCCTAAAACAAATCTGAGCAAGTAACAAGTAATTAGAGATTTAGTAGAAGATACTGATGTTTAAAAAATTTGTGATGAGTCTCAAACTGTACAATAGAATTTGACTGCAATTACTGATCATTTTTTTCTTAAAAGTACAAAATTCTAAAAAGTTAAAGTATCTTTAAAAAAATCCAATGCATAGAAATCACTAGGGCCCAGGGAACCCAGGATCCTGGACAGAAAAGGAGGAGACAGATGTGTGGAAATTTGCAGGAGTTCTGGGTTAGCTGCAGTTTTTGAAAGACAGGGGCAGAAAGGCCTCTGAGGAAAATGTTCAAGTCCATTTTTTGATGTTCAAAGACTGGATTCTTTACAGTTCAGTGGATACTATTACAGGCATTAGAAATATATAATTATATGCCTGTGGAAACTGCTAATTCACTAGGTGTCAAAGTACTAATCACCATATTAATTATATGGCATCAAAACATATTTCTATATCAAGGGCACTTAAATATTGATAAAAAGATGATTTTGTTTCAAGTGAGTATATTTAACTGTAATAGAGAAATGTACATCAGCATAATTACACTGATGAATATTTCTGCAAAATATAACAGCTATAAGTTGCTGTCATGCCAGTTATTCAAATCACACCACATGTTGAGATCACACAGACATATGAATGTTACCAACCAGCACATGCACAAAAAGAACAAATCAGCTTATGGATGTTGTTTGGCACAGGATATTGGAAGACTGTGCTTTTAACGCAGGCACGTAACCAGAATTCAAAATTAATTAATTGATCTTTCTGTGGAAAGTGACAACAAATGGAGACTATGCTCCATAAAATCATTATTAGAGAAATAATTGTGATGTTCTATGATGTCTCAGGTCTATGACTGTTTAAAAAATGAAAGGAAAAAATTATCATAAAAGGCTATTGTAATACTGCATGTGAAAGATACTGAAATGCTAAAACATTGGATGCATATTGGAATAAAATTATTCAATTACAGCATCAGAAATGCTTTAAAGATTTGTATAAAATTTCCAGATAAAATTAATTGCAAACTATTAATCTCATATCATTGGCAGTGGTTGAGATATTGCCCATCAATGAATCTTCAATTAATCAACATTTTTCAAATAGTAATCAGAAATAGTTCTTGACGTAATTTGAGTTCTAGACACAACGTACCAATGTCTGAAACTTTGTCAGTTGTGCAAAACCTGATTTTTGTATTTATTCGGGTTATCTGTTATGAATTCTGTACCATGCAATGGATGGAAAACTGGCTACGTGTCTGTACTGATGGTATATGATTCTGCCACGTGATGCTCTATGCAAGCATTCTACCATTTAAAATTTATCCCATAAGTAAAACTCCAATTTGTAGCATGTAAAAATGAAATAAGTTTTAAATAAAGTTTCAAAAGTTAATTAATTGATAAATTGCTTTTCAGTTTACCTTATAGCACCACTTAAGTTGCCCGGAAAACTTCAAAGCTAATCTATAAAATAGGCAGCACTTTGAATTTATTTTCCATACCAACACAGAAGGGACCTTGAGGTAGAAATGTGGGGGATGTTCCTCTGCTCTCCCACCATAACGTTGGTAGAAGATCTACAGAAACCCCAGAGAAATGGAATTCTGCTTAAATTACAGCAGGAATTTGAGACAAACACCAATGGAAATCCTATTTAGCCAAAATCAAATATTGTTACAAAAAAAACTGTGCATGATCAGTGTGATTGATCACATTTCTCAAATCAAAAATAAAGAGAAAACAATGATGTAAGCAACTGATGAGGCTGCAATTTAGACATATGTCCAATTTGCCGGTTTAATGGTTTTAATTCATTGTATGCTATGGTACAAGGATCAGGATAGGACTAACATGAAATTCTTTACTTGTGTTCAAGACAAAATTGTACCATCCTGAATCAATGAGCCAGAAAGGTTGCATCAGGTCACAGTTCCAATATATATTTGAAATGGAAACATAACAAAATCATTTCTGCAAATCATTACTTATTGTCATATCTACACACATGTTAAGAAGTTTGTAATCTTTGTACATCTATCTGTAATTGCTAAGCAGCTTAAGCATTTCCTTGCACATTCTGAAGAAAGATCATGGCCTGTTTCTCCTGACACCATAAGATAAAGGAGCAGAATTAGGCCATTCAATTTGCTTCGTCATTTGATCATGGCTGATATGTTTCTCAATTGCATTCTCCTGCCTTCTCCCTGTAACCCTTGATCCCCTTTCTAGTCAAGAACCTATCTAACTCTGTCTTAAATACACTCAATGACTTGGCCTCCACAGCCTTTGTGGTAATGAGTTCTACATATTAACCACCATCTGGCTAAAGAGATTCCTTCTCATCTCAGATCTAAAGGGTTGTCCCTTCACTGTGGGGCTGTGTGCTCGGGTCTTAAGGCTCTCCTACTAGTGGAAACATCTTTTCTATGTCCACGTTATCCAGGCCTCTCAATATTCTGTAAGTTTCAATAAAATTCCCCCTCATCCTTCTAAACTTCATCGAGTACAGACCCAGAGTCCTCAAATGCTCCTCATATGACCAGCCCTTTAGCCCCAGGATCATTCCTGTAAACCTCTGTACCGCCTCCAATGCCAGCACATTCTTCCTTAGGTACAAAGCCCAAAACTGCTCACAAAATTCCAAATGCACTCTGTCTAGAGCTTTATACAGCCTCAGCAGTACATCTCTGATCTGGTATTCTAGTCCTCTTGAAATGAATTTGCCTTCCTAACTGCCAACTGAACCTGCATGTTAACTTAAGAGGATCCTGAACTATGACTCCCAAGTCCCTCTATGCTTCAGATTTCCCAAGCTTCCCCATTTAGAAAATAGTCTATGCCTCTATTCTGAGACAAAAATAGAAATTGATGGAAAAGTTCAGCAGATCTGGCAGCATCTGTGGAGAGAAATCAGAGTTAACATTTTGTGTCGAGTGGGACCCTTCCTCAGAATTGATGATAGCTAGGATAATGTCAGTTTATATGCAGAAGATGGGGTGGTGGCAGGGGTAAGGAGTGAACAATACATGGGGATAGGGCCAAAATAGACAGAAGAGCAGTTGGACATAGAAAGGAGTGGATAACAATCCGGCTAGGAGGGTGAATACTATCAATGGGACTATTAGTAGTTAACAATGAGCGATCTGTAATAGCAGACTATGTGATAACAAGGTCTGGTTTGTGGGGGTTAGCACAAAGGACATGGGAGAGTTCAAGCCCTAAAGTTATTGAACTCAATATTGAATCCAGAACACTGTAAGGTCCCCAGGTGGAAAATGAGGTGTTGTTCTTCCAGCTTGTGCTGAGCTTTGCTGAAGCACTGCAGCAAGCCTGAGACAGAGATGTTGGCCAGGGAACAGGGTGGTGTGTTGAAGTGGCTCTATTCTTTCTACCAGAGTGCATAACCTCATACTTACTCACATTGTATTCCATCTGCCAATTCTTTGTCCACTCTCCTAACCTGTCAAGTCCTTCTGCAACATCCTCACTTTCCCTCCACCAAAACCTAACCTGCAGACTATTACCAGCATTTTCTGTTTATAGTTAAGTATTTACCTGTTTGGTTGAAACCGTTTATCAAGCTGTTTATGTTTGCTGAGTTGAACGTATCTTGGAACATTGTCTGAAGGAAATGAAATGGTTGAAATGAATACAATTCTGACATGCATAATTTAAATGCTGTTAACCATTCAGTTTGCTAATGGGGCTCATACAATGACAAATAAATTCTAGCTTCATCCCATCAAAATTCTCCCCAGTATCTATTTTGCAGGGAGAATTAGGAAACCAGCTTAGATATAGTATTCTTCAAATGAATTAATTGAAGCTTTGTTAATGAAAGTTACACTGTTTTATTATATTTAACTATTCAAATGGCTCTTTAGGTTCTGACTGCATCATTACATGCATACAGCACTCAGACATGACTCAATTTGATCTGAATTGGTTGACCTGAGCTGGCAAATCAAAGGGCCTCCTATGGGTGACCATTAACTGCCAGTTCATTTCTCCCACATCTAAATCTGGAGAATGGACCATCAGTCAGTATTGTCACCCATGAGAGGTGAATTTCCTTGGAGGTGCTCCCAACCTGTTGTTGCTGTGACAACATTCAAGTAAGCGCAGCAGGTACCCTGCTTTAATGTGCAAGCATGGCCCCCACATCATTTTTACAAAAGTAAAGCAGTGGAGTGGAGTCTCTTTGAAAATTCCTGCCATTCATCACCATCCAGAGACCTCTGATGGAAAATACACATGGACGGAAATTGATTTAGGAAAATATTAAAGTTTTTAATATCATCTTTGGAAAGTAACAAGCACCTGTGAAACTTGAAATCAACAAGCCAAGTTTGGGATCATCTCAAAGTCTCAAAACTCTCCACTCTAACTAACTAATCTGACTAGGGGAAGCAGTGGCATCCATTTTTATAGAAGTCTACCTTTCATAATGTGTAGCAGTGACGTAAAAGTAATGGATGCTTAGACACAGTGCCAGCAAAAGACACTTCAATGCAAATAAACGCAATTGAATCTGCCTGAAAAGAACATTAAAGCTGAGGAAACAAAAACGGAAGAACTTGCTTTAACTTACTTTAACATTCTGATGACTTAAGCATACATTTGTACATCTATTTCATTGCATAAATGACACAAGTAAAGAAATGGGCTATGATCATGTTGTCATTCCACTAAATGGCAAGAATGATTCTTCTCCAAAATCACTTGAGACAGAAATCGGATGCATGTGTCAATGGATGCATGTGAAACACCATACAAACAGCAACCAAAATGATTGGTAATTATTTTTAGTCCTATTTGTAGTACCTTGAAGGACCTTGTTTGAAGTTCCTTGAAGAACGTGCAATATACCAGAGTACATGAATGATTTTCTCACTCCAGGCATTCCTAATTTCAGTAGGGCTCATGAAGGGTGGTATCAAGGACAGGACAATGCACTCTTTGCTGAGAATGTGGGAAGAATTGGGTAAGTTCTTTGCGGGCTATCAGACAGTGAAAGTGGTAGTGATCTGGTTTCAAGCTACTCAGAAATCACAATCATAAAAGGATATGTATGAGTTAGTAGAAGCTGATCGGTGAGATAAAAAGAGTTATCATAAACACTGAGATAATTATACAGTTCTGTTCCAAGCACAGAAGGTTACTTTTTATGAAATGCAATATGCATTTAGCACTTAAAACCAATAATAAAAACAGAAAGTACTAAAGAAACTCAGCTGGTCCAGCAGTTTTTGTGGAAAATGAAACAAAGTTAACGTCTTAAGTCCAATATGATTCAATCCAATATAATTCGTTCAAAGGAAGAGTCATCTTGGAATCAAAGCATTAATTCTGTTTCTCTTTCCACAAACCAGCCCTTCTGCATTTCTCCGCACTTTGTTTGATTTCAAATCTCCATCATCTGCAATATTTTGCTTTTTTTCAGATTTCCTACCTTGTCCATCACACAATACATCGGATCCTGTAACAAAAATTATAACACAGTTAGTTTATTTCTGATCTTAGAACATTCTACATGTCATGAGCAGACTATGGGTGGGAATTCCAGTCTCTGTCGTGACTGAAGAATGCAGGGAGGTGAACTTAATCAGACAAGCAGCAGACAGATTCTTGACCTCAAGATGAACTTCAGTGCTCCAGGCAGTTCATGGATATTATTTTGCTCCAATATGTCTGGGGATCGTTGACCTGCAGCATCTGGGATAGCATCAAGGTATTTGCCACAGTATCACTCATTCTTAGCCAACACATAGCATGGGTTCATTTGGAGGACATAGGGGGATGGTACTGGTGAAACACATGGAATGGTGGCCAGGATGGAGCAATTGGATGTCACAGTTTGGAAGTTAAAGCCAGAGCTACAGGAATCATGCAGTCTTGTGGGAAGTCTCAAGGGATGTCAGGATGCAGATAGCTTCGATCAGAGGAGGAGTAAAGTTCAGCTGGGCAATGGGGCCTTGATCTTAAGGGGCTCCCGGAAAAGATTGGGGACCTTGATGGATACCGTAATTTCTGGCGTAGCAAGGCAGCGATGGAGTGTTACAGGGGCAATAAGACTGATACATGAGGATCCAAAATGAGCAAACTGAATCTCACCATGCTGAAAGTCCTCAAAGTAACAGCACAATATATGAACAGAGCAGAAATGGCTACTGCCTAAGTGGGAGGAGATTTCATTTGAGGAGGATGGCAGTTATATCTTGCATGTTTTGGTCAAATGAAGAACCACCTATCAATTAGGAATCCAATGGAGGGATAATCAGCTACAGCCATGCTCAACTGTTGCAATGCAAGATCTTTCAGGCATTAAATACCTATAGCACCAAGGGACGTATCTTGAATCAGTTTATATAAGTCTTTGCACAGAGATTGTATCTCTTTATAGCACATACCAGTATTTCTGGATGACCGTCTCCTGCCTTTGCGCTTTGATCGTCTGTCAAAAGACAACATTGATATTATATGCATTAGAATAACATTGTCAAAAAGTATTGTCAGTCATTCCGAACATAATGTTGATGATATATTCTTTATGCACTTGCATACCACATCCACTATATTGAAATGAGTGCTGGCCTACATGTTCATCTGCTGAATCAGCAATAAGTGAAATGTCACCATACATCTGTGCTGAGTATTCATCTGTCATTACCACTATTGGCATTTGCCAGGCTAACTTGTTCCATACAAATAATTGTTCCATGGTATCATGTGTGCTGTTAATTGAAATTCGTTCTATGAATTCACTATTCTAGGCTCGCATTGCAAATGAAAGCTATTTTAAAAAGCTGATCCTATCATTAAACCTAAATCAAAATTCTTCTTCGGTGTTAGAATGTAATTAATTAATATATCCAGTGGAAATTTTGGGTGTATATGGATTTAGAATTCTAAATTTTGGATTTAGAATTCCAGCTGATGTTATTATTGGACAAGTCAGATCCCAGATTGAAACCTGGCTTGATAGACAATATTTTGTTTTGCTTTGGTTTAGACGAAGTGATCTCTTGCTGAAATATTGCATGCAATGCTGTAGATTTATTTTTAAAAATAAAAGAGAAATTTATTAACAATAGAAATGATGGTAAGATAAAGTAAACCAAAGTATCTAGTTACAATGGGTCTAAATAATTTATTTTTGCTGTGGCAAATTCGATTTTAGCCAAATTTAGAATGAAATTAGCTCTTTGTAGCTGATCAAACAGTTCAGGCAAATGGTATAAGTGTTCATCCCAGATTTGTCAACCAAGTTGTTGACATAAACCACTATTTCACCCAGACCTCCTTTAAGATTCCCCAATTTGTGACAGTTCCAGATGGCATACTCTAAATTGATAAGGTCTGGGTAAGGAAGAATGAGTTGGTTTCCTCTTCATAATTCACCCGCTCCCTTGGTTGCTCACAATAAGGCTAATTTCAAACACATCCTTTTCCTTGTATTTCCCAGACTCAAATGAACTTATGTTTTAAAAGAAGCCTTAACCAGACCTTGTTAACAGAGTAAGTTTATTAATTACTAAATGTGAGAAGAACTAGTGATACAATATACATAAACACAAATTATAAATAAGACAAAAGTCCAAAAATATAAAAGATGGGTAAAAATGATCTGAGTCTGAATTATTGATGAAGAGCAGATAGTTTAATATTGTATCCATTGTGATGGGGGTTACTGGTGGCATTGATTTTGGTAACTGAACAGTCAAGCTCAAGTTTATTAGTTTTCCTGGTTGTTTGAAATTCTCTTGTTCTTATTCTTTTCAATTATTACTAAATTCCAGTATTGATGGTGAGAGAGAGTCCTCTTGTGGTACTGTTTCCTTTTGTCTTGCTTGCTAGCTGGCTGGTTTCCAACATGCAGAATAAGAGTATCTTTACCTGCAATACAGGGGTGACTAGGATGTGATTTTTCAACAATGATCTTCAAAGCATGCTAATTTTAAACCCAGGCTGCAATATCTTAGTGCATTGTCACACAAGAGAACTTTCAGTCTCAATAGCACACTCCAACAGAATTAAAGCTGATTTTTTAGCCCCTGTTCTTGTGGTTATGTCACAGAGAAAAATATAAAATGTGTCTTCAGTTTGGGACATAATCCGCAGATGGCGGCTTACTGTTAAACTGGGAGTCATCAGCCTCTTGTTGTCTTTGTTGCCATAAGGTACAGTCCAGTCAGTTTTGAATTGTCTTTTCCTCCTTTGGAGGCATGTTGTTAGAAGATCCCTTCAAATCTTTAAATACAAAATTCAGTGAGTCTTTGTCTCCAGACAGTCACTTAATTTATACGCACAGTCATTTTTAGCTGTCGACAGAAACTTTGTGATCCATTCAGTTTTGACACCATTACGGTAGTTGAGCTCCAGCTACCAGGATTCAGTTCAATAATATCATTGTCTATCATAAACATTATCTGTTCCCTCACTTGAGCTAATTTCTTTCAATTGAGTCTGTATAAATATTGTTTTAGAGATAACATATCCCTAAATTAACATCACAAGCATCAAGATGTTTTTCTTGATATATTCACACAAATTGATTTATGAGTCTGTAGTTACTGTAAGTCACTTCAATAGTTTTTTAGAAGATAAAATTTCATTTTATCTAACCTTTCAAGCGTATCTGTATTACCGAATCTGATTGCTGGAGAATCAACTATTCAATTTTCAATATTTTAATTCTCATACATTCTCCAATTATTCTGAATTTTCATTTCACGTCCTATTTCTTCCATTACTGTAAATATACTTCTCTCCTGGCTGTCCCCATCTCAATAAATCCCTTTGTAAGGATCACATATTTTTCTTTTTTGGACTAATAAACTGTATTGCAATTAAGACTGCTATAAAGCTGAAATATCAGGAGAGTTTTGCAAAAATCAAGTGGTACACATATTTAGCCGTGCAAAACAATGTTGTTGTTGTCGCAATGTCATTGATTCAGTATTGAGTCAGTATAGAACCAAGTGTTCTTGAGTTAAGGAAAAGTTGTCTGGTGAGAACCCCCAGATTGGTTGGGCTGCAGTTTGTTCCAAATCTGCAGAGCAGCAAGCGGCCTTCGCAGCTTGCAAACTGAAAATACCTCATTCTCTCGCCATTCTCCTTGTCCGAGGGAAAAGACAGAAAAACCAAGAAATCTTAAAAAAAACTAATAAGAAAAGACCAACGTCCACCAGATTAACTACTAAAGTGAATAACAACCATTGCTTTACAGACAACAGCATGTCAATGTTGCTAAAATCAAAAGGTACTGTAAGAGACAACTTCACTAACCCTTGAAACCGGGACTTTTGATCTTCCAAATCTTCATTTTCCCGATCTACATTTTGTTCCACAGATAATATGTGTCAAGCTGTCTGTCTTTTGTCGGTATTAATTATGGTCAAAAATCACACAACACCAGGTTATAGCCCAACAGGTTTATTTGAAGTCACAAGCTTTTGGAGTCTCACTCCTTGTTTAGGTGTCAGTGAGAGAGGTGGCAGCACACACAGAATTTGTAAGCAGAAGATCAAAGTCATAGAATTGATACTGTGTTGACCAAGCCTAAGATGGCTATTAAATCTTTAACCAGTTAGAAAGGATTAATATGCAAATTCCTGAATTTCTTTCAAGTCACTGCCCTGAGATAACTAAAAGTTTTATCACTTCCCTCCGTATATCACAGGTGGCATCCCAGGTCAGACAATGCATTTTTGGTGTGAGGCCTTGTTTAAAATCTGGCTGTGTATGTGTGCATATGTGAGAGTGTATAGTGTGATGCGGTCACCTGTAGTGCGACATAAACCTAAGATCACGTTTGAGGCCATCCTCATGGGTACAGAACTTGGCTCTGCTCGGTGACTCTGCATTGTTGTGCATCCTGAAGTCCGCCTTGGAGGGCGTTTACCCGAAGATCCGAGGCCGAATTTCCTTGACCACTGAAGTGTTCCCCCATTGGGAGGGAACTTCTCTGTTTGGCAATTGTTGCATGGTGTCCATTCATCCGTTGTCATAGCATCTGCTTAGTTTTGCCAATATACCATGCAGACGCTATGACAATGGATGAATGGACACCACAAAACAATAGCCAGACAGGGATGTTGTCCCCCAGTGGTGGAACACTTCAGCGGACTGGGACATTTGCCTCAGATCTTTGGGTAAACGTCCTCCAAGGCGGACTTCAGGATACACAACAACGCAGAGGTCACTGAGCAAAGACTGATAGCCAAGTTCAGTACCAATGAGGATAGCCTCAACCAGGATCTTGGGTTCATGTCACACTACACGCGATCCCACCACACTATACACACACACACACACACACACACACAACACATACACACACACACACTCAAGCATGCACAGACACCTATTCTCTCACACACAAATACACAGTCTCTCTCTCTCTCCCTCACACTCACTCACTTTCACACACACACACACACTCTCTGACAACATGTGGTGTGAATTGGTCATCTTGGCAGTTTAATTGGGACTTTATACATTTTGTGACAGCTTGTGGAATAGTGCGGACAATTATTGGTACACTCTTCCTCATTGAGTTGTGGCATCTTCAACATATTAATATGACACATTCACGGTTTTCTCTTTCTAACTGGAATACACAATTTGTAATTCACGCCATTGAGTTTCTTTTTATTTTGATAAGGTCCTGTGAAACTTGTTTTTAATGGTTTCCCAGAGACAGGTAACAATACTAACACTTGTCTCCAGCAGCAAAATTTCAAACTTTGGCCTTTTATCTGCTCTAATTTTCATTGTTGAGCATTCTATAAATCTTTTTTGGAAAACTCGCATACTATGGTCAATTTGAAACATTGGCTGGAAATGTAGTCTTTGAAATTTGGTTTATCATTTTTTTCTTTAATCAGTTCAAGTGGTCCCTCATCTCATTTCCATATATTAGTTCAAAAGGACTGAATCCTGTTGACTCAGTAGAAGCATCCCTAATGGCAAACACGGGAATTTCTTCTATCCCTATCATTAGGACAATCTTGACAATATGCTCTAATTATCATCTTCAAAGTTTTATATTATCTTTTCAATACAAATTGAGATTGTGGACAATTAAACTGAAGATGTAACCAATCCCTAATTAGTCACAATTTAGTTGAATATTTGTGACATAGAATTTGAACGTTCATCTGATTGTATTTCTTTGGTAATCCATATATTGTAAAGAAAAATAATATTTCCATGATAGTAGGAACTGCAGATGCTGGAGAATCTGAGATAACAAGATGTAGAGCTGGATGAACACAGCAGGCCAAGTAGCATCAGAGGAGCAGGAAAGCTGACGTTTCGGGCCTAGACCCTTCTTCAGAAATCTGAACTGAATCTGATTTCTGAAGAAGGGTCTAGGCCTGAAACGTCAGCTTTCCTGCTCCTCTGATGCTGCTTGGCCTGCTG